TTTCACTGAGACCGCCAGCTTCAGTGTCCTGCCCTTGCTGACAGCAGCGTGCACAGCTGCAGGAGCAAGTCCTGTCTGCTCTTCTTGACTTTGTGTTTCCAAGAAGACACAGGCGCCCACATTTTACCACTTGTGATGTCCAGGGAAATGGGCACCCACCCCAACCTGCCCTCCACCTGAGAGGCAGCTCCGGGAAAGCCTCTGTTCATGCCCCTGCCAGGCAGTGGCACTTGTGTTTTCCGCCAGAACCGTAAGACCCACCCGGGCCAGCAGTGCCTTTCCCCAGTGGCGCTCATTCACTCCTCAGAGCAACTCTTCGCTCTCCCGCCGGGCAGCCCAGTTGTTGGATCACACGCAGGTCACAGTGAAGAGCTGCCATCCAAGGCCGCCAGGCCTCCAGGGCTCACCATCTAGTCCTCATTATGGGACCCAGAGAGAGAATGGACATCTGGGGAGACCCTGATTTCTCTGGGGTGAATGGGGAAGAGAATGTAAGGGACTCATCCCAAAGGATGCCCCTAGTCAGGGCTCCAGGCTGGAAAGGAAAGGGAGATCCTATATGGGACTGAGAGTCAGAACCTTGGTGGTGGGAGCCTGCAGGCCTCAGCAGCTCGCACTGTGTGGGTGGGTCTGGGAGGCAGGGGGTGCTCAGTGATGGGCAGGGTGGGAGGAGGCACCTGGGCGCAGCCTCCTTCACCCTCTCCAGTACAACAGCCAGCGGGGAAGTGTGACTTGGGCTAGCAGGCCTTTAACACGTCCCCAACCCTCGAGGTTCTCCCTTGAAAAGTTGGGGGTGGGGCAGCAGGCCTGTCTCAGAGCCTCCGGTGCAGTGACTAGCTGCTCCTTAATCTTTGTTAATCTTTGCTGTCTTCACTGTGTATTCTAATGGTTAACTTCTGTTTATGGAAAGGAATGCTGGTTTCCATTCATGAGAGTGACAGCATGCTTGTCTTTTTTAATATATCCAACTGAAAATTAAAATGTGTTGCACATCAATGTGAATATAGTTAATGCGCTGAACTATACACTTAACATGGTTAAAATGGTAAATTATGTCATGTGTGCTTTGTCACAATAAAAAGTGAGATAGCTTAAGGAAAATTTTTACAAAAATTATAGTAGAGATAAGAGGTGGGTATGACAAAAATCATGAAGGCAGATCTGAACTAAGTTTAGGGAACCCTGGTCCTGTGTAGCCTCTTTGTTCAGTAGGGAATGAAAACAAGTCCCAGAGAGGCTGATAGAACGAATAGGACTTTATAGTCAGAGAGGCCTGGCTGGTTTGGCTCAGTGGATAGAGCTTTGGCCTGCAGACTGAAGGGTCCCAGGTTTGATTCCTGTCAAGGGCACATGCAGACTCAATCCCCCAGTAGGGGGTGTGCAGGAGGCAGCCAGTCAATGACTCTCTCATCATTGATGTTTCTATCTCTCTCTCTCTCCCTTCCTCTCTGAAATCAATAAAAAAATATATTTTTTTTTAAAAAGTCAGAGAGATCTGAATTTGTATGACTTGGGACAAATCACTTAATTTCTTTTTACTTTGGTTTTATTATTGCTAAAGTGGAGACATCATTACCAGTGTCACAGAGATCACTAAGGATTATACTGTAAACACTAGAGGCATGATGCACAAAATTCATGCACGGAGGGGGGTGTCCCTCAGCCCAGCCTGTACCCTCTTGCAATCCTGGACCCCTCGGGTAGGGTCCCTAGGCCTGGCCAGAATCAGGGCCTATCGGGGCTTTCCTTCTCACAGCTACCGGCAGCTGGCCCCGCCCCCGCCACTGCCACTGCTTGCCAACTGTGTGGAGCTATTCCCCCTCCCCTGCCACGGGTCGCCTCCCTCTGCAGGCGACAGGCGTGGGGTGTGATCACTTGGCTGGCCTTGGCCTCCCTCTGCGGGGTGATCCATCACAGGGCCCCCAGATCAATCACCCTGCAGAGGGAGGCCCCGCCCACCCACCACAGCACCACTGACAGGGTAGCCTGGGCCTCCCTCTGCGGGGCAATTGTGACCCTCCTCTCTGCCCCTCTCCCAGCCTGCTCACGGTGCCATCGCCTGAGAATTGCCCGTGGTGCTGGGCACACTGAGCCCACCCAGCCTGCACAGGACCCGCCACCGGCTGCCCCGCACCCTCGTGCAGCTCTGAGCGGCTCTCTCCCGGCAGACATGACTCATTTAGCTCAGACAGTAGGACCGCACACTCGCCTGCCTGCTGGCAAAGTAGCCCACAGATTTCCATGTAATTGCATAAGCTACATGTACTGGGCTAATTCTCCATATCTGGTTCCTGGAACAGTGCGTCCTGTTCACTGTTTACAGGGACAGAGAGCCCAGGCAGTGAGCCCTCCGGCAGACGGCTGTCATCTGTTGGGCAGACATAATTGCCCAAATACGCTGGACGCTGCCCAGAGCACATGCCACTCCATGAGGATCACTCTTGGTGCACACTCCTGCTCTCTCTCAGCCTGTGCCTTCCCCCTCCCCATCCCCGGAGGGTCAGTGGGCACAGGGTACATAGATGGGAGGAGAGGACGGGGCTCGCACATGCTCAGAGGGAGGATGCGGCAAAGGTGCTTTAAAGCAGAGCCTGCAAGCATGCCCTGTCCCTCCAGCTCTTCCCAGTACGTGTCCCTGGCAGTTTCCACAGACAGACTCACCGTCGATCACAGAGATTCCAGACTTTTTCATCTCAGTGGTTTTAGCTTCTGCTTGGAATGTCTCTGGGCCATGAAAACGCTGGCCACAGTCTGGTTCATCGGCCGGGTCCGCTTCCACTGATGCGGACTCACAGGTGCGTCCAGGTACCCTAGCTCTCTGCATGTGGCTTTCTCAGCTTCAAATAGAAACGGAATAGAATAGAAATGGGAAGTATAA